TGTACATATATCATTATTTACCTCTGTCTCACTTAGCCCATTGAGACCTGTCTAATTGTTCTCCCATCTGCTTTATTCTTCCATTCCCCTCTCCCTACTTGGTATATTTCCACATGCAGGCTTTTTAATGTTTAAAATTTATTTTGTCATTGATGACAATATATACAGCAAAACACACACCAACTCGGCAGTTTCCACATGTGCAGTTTGTGACTCTGATGACAGCTTTCGAGTTGGGCACCGTTACCCACCCGGTTTCTGAGCTCTTAACCCCACATCTGCATGCACTCGCTGCCCCCTGAGGTTTTATATATATACACACACACACACACACACCCCAAGGTTCCACACGCATGCGCTGCCCCCTGAGGTTCCTAGCTGGTCTGTTGAGTTTCCATTGTCTTTTTTTTTTTTAAACTTATTGTGAATTGAGTGAAGGCTCACAGACAAGATCATTCGTTTTACATCCAACAAATGGTACACTTTGCTTCATCTTAGTGGGTGCCAGCCTCTCCCTGCAACAACAGTTACCCCACTTCCTCCCTGTGATTCCTCTTTCCATTCCCCCTCCTTCCCAGCCCCTCTCATCTTTGTCCACAGGTAAATGTGGCCCTTTTGATCTTGAATGTCTGAGCATTCCATGGGGAGCAGACCTCACTGGTGGTGTCCCCCCCCATACACCTATCTACTGCTTGGCTGAAAGTGGCCCACGAGTGTTGTGAGTTCCTTTTCAGACGTGAAGGGTGGTCAAGGGCCCTAATCTCATGTTCTTTCTGACCAGTAAACCTGCTCTTTTTTTCCCTAAGAATTCTGAGTGCTGTTGCACATTTTCTTCCACTCTATCTGGGACCTTCTAATGTGATCCCTCTCAGGGCAGGTGGTAGTGGTTGCTAGGCACTGTCTAGTTCTTCTGGTCATTGTCAATGACGTCAATGAACTTTAAAATCGACCTCGACCAATGATAGAATATATAATGGTGCTCGTGATGTGCCATCGAGTTGGTTCCAAATCATAGCGACCCTGTATGGGGTTTCCGAGGCTGCAACTGTTTACGGGAGCAGCAAACCTTGTCTTTCTCCCGCTAATGGAGCTAATGGAGCTAAATGGCCATTGGCAGAGCTGAACAAAGCGTTTGTCCTGAGCATCACATCTTCAAAGGCAAGTTGGTGAGTCTGGGCCTGGCACTGACGTCCATGTGTTTCCTTTGCAGGGGGAGCAGACCAAGGACCCAGCGTGGAAGGCCTCAACGCACCTACCAAGGCTGCTTTAGGTAACACGGGTGATCTGGTGCAGAGTGGGCTCATTAAGTAAAGAATGAGCCGCGTCTGCGCCTTCTGCCTCTGTGTCTTGTAACTTACAGCATGGTACAGCATTGTGACTAAGTCTCTCCATAGGACTACACAGAAAGCGAGCAGCACTAGCCAACTTGAATGGAAAATGCATCGGCCTTCCCACCTTCCTAAGGTTGCTATCGCTGCGTCTGGTCTGCTGCTTTACGCCGGCTGCTTTACGCCGGCTGGTTTACGCTGCTCAGAGTACCTTCACCATTCCCATTTGCTCACAAACACTTGCCATTTTCTTCTCTCTCTGATTTGATGAGAAGGGAACCTACTCTTTCATTTTTCACTCTCAGGGAATTATAATTTGAAATTGGCACTTGTTATAGTGCATTAATTGGAAAGCAACTGCCTTGATGAAAAAGAACTGATTAGGAGTGTTCTGGATATATTCATCATGTATTCAGTTTGCAGGAAGATGGGAGCAGGGTTTGTGACCACTACAATACAAATCTAAAAGTGGTAGACAATTGATGCAGATGTTGTTTCCACACTTCACGTGTAACAAAGTGATACTTTCATTAGAGCGAAAGCTTTCAGTTACTCTTTTATTGGTTGTGACTTTATAGTGTCTCTTCCCCATAAGACTTAGTCTCCTCCTGTAAAAAAAAAAAGAAAAAAACGAGATTTTATTCTTGCTGGTCTCTTAAACATAATTGTAAAACTAGAACATATTACCTATGATACAGATTTACCCAAAAGATCATTTTTAAGGAAAATTTCTCTAAAAGAATTACATATTTCAGTGCTATTTGGTGTGGTGATGCAGGTTAAAGCACTGGACTGCAAAGTCAGTTTCATCCTCAATGTTGGCAGTTCAAGCTCACCACCCACTCCTCCAAAACTCTATTTGGGGTCGCTGTGGGTCAGAACCAACTTGACAGCACTTAAAAACAATAACAATATATGTTGTTGTTGTTGTTAAGTGCTGTCGAGTCGGTTTCTGCCCATAGCAACCCTGTATAGGGTTTCCAAGGAGCAGCTGGTAAGCTTGAACCACGACCTTGCAGTTCAAACAGCTTTGCAGTCTGACGCGTTAACCCACAGCACCCCAGCAGGACTCCAGGATACAATAATAGAATGCTTTATAGTTCTTATTGGGTGGAAATGCTCTTGACTCATTGCTTTAGTTGTGCAAATACTGCCTGGACAATTGTATATTAGAGAATCATGTTAACTGGCGAGTTTGTTCAGTACACACAAGAGATGCCCCAGAAGAAAGCAGCAGTGTATCAGCACAGACTCACCCCTAGCTCTCTTGGGCCATATTTTCCTCCTCACTGTGATGTGCAAACACCACGTTCTCTCTGAGTGTGGATGCTGCATGGGGTTAGAGCTCAGAGCATCTGAGTCCTCTAATCTTGTAGTTCCGTTCATCTAAAAGGCCCACCTATACAGGGGGCTCCAGAAAGTCCATAGATAGATGGAATGAAAAGATAATGGAGTTTTCCACAAACTTTTTGAAGTCCCCTCTTATTTGAGTCTTCTAGATGCCCACCAAGAGTGGAAAATGTTACAGTCTCTGAAATAATATCGCAAATAGTATCTTAGATTGCTTTTAAAGACTACTAAAAATCGAGGAACTATGATTCCTACTGGGATGACTTTGTAATTTTTCTTTTTTGGCAGAGGTTTCGTCTATCATGAAAAAGAAACCAAATCAAGCTAAGAAAGGAGTGAGTATTCTGTATATAAAATCAGTTGTGCTCCAGAAAGCCTCCTTGGTCACTTCATTCATTTATTCTTATGTATTGATGTATTTATTCTCTTGAGCTCTGTTATAATCAACGTGGCTTTGATGGAAAGCTGCCAGTTTTTTCACTGAGATGAAGGTCCTGCTTAGTAAACATTTTCTAGACCACGTGTGTGTAACTTTTCTCCAGTCTGACAAAACACTGGAAAAAACAAAATGAACAAAGACTTCCTGGGAGATTCCGTTGTGCGTATGTTTCTGTGGCAGTGCCATTTTGTGAGGCTAAACGGGTAGTCTGTCAGCTTTCTAGAACAGTTATGCGTTCAGGTACATGGCTCTGGAGGCTGGCACCAGGTTTGAACCCTGGCTTTGCCACTGACTGGCTGTGTGGTCTTGGCCAAGTCACTTAACGTGCATGAGCTCCTGTGTCCTCATCTGTGACCTGGGGATGACAGTAGTACCAGCTTCACAGAGCTGTGGGGACCTAAAGGACACGTGTGTGCAGTGCCTGCCATCAGCCTCTGTGAGTGGGAGCCGTGTTACAAACGCTTTCATACAGCTTGGACTGAGTGCAGTCTTCTCTATCTCCTAGCTTGGGGCCAAAAAAGGAAGCTTGGGAGCCCAGAAACTGGCAAACAAAAGCTTTAGTGAGATTGAAAAACAAGCCCAGGCTGTTGATAAGATGAAGGAACAGGAAGACCTTACGGCCCGGGCAGCACCTAAGGAAGAATTCACGTAAGTTTAATGGAATTACAGTAATGCGTCTCCAGTGGGAAAACTATTCATCCACTCAGACTGAAGTTAACTTTCCAGATGCCAATGCTCTTTAAGAATGTGTGTGTGTGTGTGTGTGTGTGTGTATGTGTGTGTGTGCAAAGTAGCCTTACGGAAAATAATACCACACTGGCCTGTAGAATGGACCAGAAGGGTGAGGAGGAGGGAGGAGCACTGGTGTGTGGCTGAAGTCAGTCCTGACAGCAGGATAATGGCGGTGAGCAGAGAGGAAGAGGTGCACCATGGGACATTCTCGTAGGAATAGATGCTCAGCAGCAGCAGCCCCTTGAGAAATGCAAGTCGAGAGACCACAGGGAGAGAGCACTTCACGCCCACTGACCAGAATCACCCACTGCAGGGACTTCTACTCATCATGACCCTGTAAGATAGTAGGACGGCCCCAGAGGGACCTTTGGGTTAGCAGCCGCGCATTTAACCACGTTGCCACCAGAGCTCCTTACCGCCCACTCACTCACAAAAAACCCCAAATGCCTCAAATCCACTGCTGTCATGTTGGTTCCGATTCATAGTGACCCTTATACAGGATTTCCGAGACTACATTTTTATGGGATCAGACAGTCTCATCTTTGTACTGTGGAGCAGCTGGTGGGATTGAACCGCTGACCCCAGTACCTGACCATAATCAAAAAGACAACAGCAAGCCTTGTTGTGGATGTGAAGCCCTTGGAGCTGTCCTCCCCTGCTGGTGGGAGGTAAAACACTGCAGCTGCGAGAGAAAACTGTTGGTGGGTCCTCAGCATGTTAACCATAAACTATCGTCTGTTTATTGTTGCTAAGTATCGTCAAGTCAGGCCCGACTCATAGTGACCCTGTATAGGGCTTCTGAAGAGGGACTGGGGCTTATCCTACAGCACCACGCCAGAACTCCTACCATTGTTTGTTTGTTTATTAAATGTCATCCAGTTGATTCTGACTCAGAGTGACCTTGTATAGGGTTTCCGAGGAGCAGCTGTTGAATTTGAACCACTGACCTTGAGGTCGAGTGCTGATCCTATGGTGCCACACCAAGATGTCTTCCATGTGACCCAGGATTTCTATTCCTATATATAATATGAAAGGGAAATAGGTTCACACAAAATCTGTACACGAGTGTTCGTAGCAGCATTAATCCTAACACCTAAAAAGTGGAAGCAACTCAGACGTTGGCCCACTGACTGATGCCTGGGCAAACAAACGGGGTCTGTCCACCACAGTGGAAGAGTCTTGGGCTCTTGAAAGGAATGTACTGGTACATGCTACAACATGGATGGACCTTGAGAACACCATGCTAAGAGAACATATTGTATGTTTCCATTAAACATAAAGTGTCCAGAGTAGGCAAATAGACACAGAATGCCGTGGCTCAGCCCTGGCTGTGAACTGAAAGCTGACCATTGTCACCCACCACAGAGATGTGGCAACTGTGGAAATCCTCTACTCTGCCTGTGGCGTCTCTGTGAGTTGGAATCAGCTCGATGGCAGTCGGTTTTACAGAGACAGAAAGTAGATTCGTGCTTACCAGAGGGGGAAGAGGGGCCAGGTCATAGGTTTGGGGCTTGTTTTTTGTGTGAAATTGTTCTGGAATTAGATGGTGAATATGCTATTCCCTCAACAACTGAATTGGAGTCCTGGTGTGGTGCTGTGTGTTAATGTGCTGGACTGCAAGGTCAGTTTGAATCACAAGGTTGGTGGTTCAAACTCACCAGCTGCTCCTCGGAAACCCTACACAGGGTTGCTATGAGTCGGAATTGACTCAACGACACTCAACAACAACAACAAACAACCGAACTGTACATGTTTGGTGGTGGTTGTTAGGTGCTGTCGAGTTGGTACTGACTCATAGCAGCCTTATGCACAAGACAATGAAACACTGACTGCTTGGTTCTGTGCCATGCTCACAATTGTTGTTAAACTTGACTCTCCTCTTGACCAAGCATGCTGTCCTTCTCCAAGGACTGGTCCCTCCTGACAATATGACTGAAGTCTCGCCATCCTGGCTTCCAAGGAGCACTCTGGCTGTACTTCTTCCCACACAGTTCTGTTTGTTCTAGTAGTCCATGGTACTTTTCTGTAGTCTCCTCCAACACTAACTATAAAGCATCAATCCTTCTATTGTCTTCCTTATTCACTGTCCAACTTTCATATACATATGAGGCTATGGAAAATACATGGCTTAGGTCAGGTGCAGCTTAGTCCTGAAACTGACATCTTCGTTCTTGAACACTTTAAAGAGATCTTGTGCAGCAGTATTGCCTAATGCAGTACATCATTTGATTTCTTGACTGTTGTTTCCATGAGTGTTGATAATGGAATTTAGCAAAATGAAGTCTTTGACAACTTCAGTCTTTTCTCCATTCATCATGATGTTATTTATTGGTCCAGTGGTGAGGAGTTTTGTTTTCTTTACATTGACTTAAAATACTGATGAAGATCAAAGACCACAGCCTTCCATATGGGTTGCACCTCAGTGTAACACTTTTGGTGCGTGAACTATATCTCAATGGTAGAAAAAGAGTATTTATAGCAAGAAGCCCACTGGCCTTGGTGACTACATTCCGCATATATGGTGGGAGCCTAGGTGAAGCCTCCCATTTCTCATCCTGTATCTTGAAGGGTCTTAGCGACTGAAGTAGGCGGAGAGGAGGCGGAAGTGGGCGTTCTGATGTTTGCCCACGGGGTCTTTCTGGAGTGGAGACATTGGAATGGCAGTGTGGAGGAGGCCCTTAAAGTCAGGTGGGTAGTTACACATTTTCTCTGAAAAACAGGAAGAGCTCCTTAGGGGCTAACGTGTGTGTTTGTAGCAGCATCAGTTGGCTTCTGTACACAGGCAGTTCTCACTGGGCCTGGTAATTACACTGTCTTAACGGCGCCTGAATGAATGAGCAAATCTAAGAGAAATAGAAAGTTAGGTTCTCGAAAGCCTCTGGCCACAACAGTTTCATGAACCGGTTAGTACACAACCTTGTTTTGTGTGTGTCTGAAGACTTCTTATTAATTTACGTTGTTGATTCATTCACATCGACCTCAAAACCAACAGAAGGGTAACTCATGCCTGAAGGAAGCTAACCTGACATGGGCATGTTGTTGTTGTTAAGTGCCGTCGAGTTGGTTCCGACCCATAGCATCCCTGTACAAGGTTTCCGAGGCTGTAAGTCTTTATAGGAGCAGAAAGCCTCATCTTTCTCCCACGGAGTAGCTGGTAGTTTCGAACTGCTGACCTTGTGGTTCACAGCCCGATTCGTAACCACTACGCTAACATGGGCATATTTCCCCCATAAGTCACACCACGGCCTTCTTGGGCTTAGAAACTAGACAGCACTTCCACACTATGTTGCGGGGGGGGGGGGGGCATTAAAAAGATATATATTTTAAAGTTTTTATTGTGAATTGGGTGATAGTTTACATGGGAGAACATCAACTTTACTTTCATCCTGTCATATTTCCTTACATTGAAATGATTACAATCCCCTCCATGCATCATCATTCAACAGCATTTGCTTCCAGTCCCTCTGTTTTTCTTTTTTGATGTACACCAAAGCACTCAGGAATATACAACCATTTAAACAACCAAAGGGTACACCCCGCAAACCTGCCCCCTGGCTGTCAGCCCACAGCCCCCCTCTTTCCCTGAGTCCAGGGGTCCCCAGCCGCTCCATCTCTCCATGTCATCGTCTCTGCCTCCGTCTCCGGTGTCACTGCTTCTCTGGGTAGGGTCCCACACTCCACTCTTCTCCCTTGATGGTCCCAGGATCCTCCACTCCTGGACTGCAAGATCAACCACTCCCTTCCTTTTGTTACAAAACGTCTACCTTTACAGTCCTGATAGCAATTGTTCACTATTGAACCACTTTAGTCTTACCTCCATCTCCTTTCACCAGCCCTATCTAGACAAGTTGGAAACCACTCAGTGGAGATTCTACCTTCCCCCCATACCCTCTGAAACTAGGCTCCCTCTTGAAAGCTTGTAAGCCAGTCACTTTGTGCCTTTGTAGCCCCCCCATTTTGGGTTGTTGTTATGTGCTGTGGAGTCAGTTCCGACCCATAGCGACCCTGAACAGGGTTTCCGAGGCTGTAAATCTTAACAGGAGTAGAACGCCTTATCTTTCTCCCGCGGAGCAGCTGGTAGTTTCAAACTGCTGACCTTGCAGTTCACAGCCTGATTCGTAACCACTACTCTACCAGAGCTTTGGGTAGCCAATGTCTAAGTTGCCCATCCCTGTCAACCCTGTGTACCGAGGAGGTGGGAATGATCCTCGCTGTAAAGATTTGTTTCCTCTTTTGAGCTACTGCATCCATAAGTATAGGTCAAGTTCATCAGATTGTAGTGGATTACTCTGGGTTTTTTTTCCCTCTTCTTTCTTCCTCTAGTCAAGTTCTGATCATCTAACCATTGAAGCCAGGTCAAATGGGTGTTATCTGCAAGTATGGGTGTTGTTGTGCACCTCCCCTCACTTCATATCAGCTGGATGCTTCATTCCCTGGGGCTCTAGTTCTCTGGTCTCGCCATACTACTGACCAACCAGGTCTCAATCCACGTGGACAAGAGTCTGTTGAACGTGGTCAGACTTAGCTCACAACTTCATTGCTGTTTTCCCCCACTTCCCCTTATCAGTAGACCAGCATGGTCACCAGCAAGACCACATGCCTGCTCGTGTATTCCCCTTGAGTTTTAGTCTTGGAAGGGGGTTTGCCCTGAAGTGACCTGACCACTTGCCTGGATGGTTCCTGAAGGAATAGCTTGCTTGTTCTTTTCGTGGCCAATCAGACTGCCATTATTGTTTGTGATTTTTCCTGCTGACCTTTCTTTCAAGAAGTATCTTCTGTTCTTTTAACAACTCCAGGCTGGTCTGCTTGTCCTTTCAAGTGGAAATTTCCCACCTCAGAAAATTCTGGATGGGGTCTGGATTCCACCTATTGTCTTAGGCAATGCAAAGGCTCCGCAAGAAGCCTCCTTCCCTGGGAAAGTTCTAGTCCCATTTTAGGTATTCCAATCCTGGTGTGGCACTGTGGGCTAATGTGTCAGACTGCAAAGCCATTTGAACTGCAAGGTTGGCAGTTCAAGCTTGGAAACCCTATACAGGGTCGCTATGGGTCGGAATCGACTCAACGGCCCTTGACAAGAATGACAGTAATCAGTTACAGGCTGAAGACGGACTTGCAGGCTTTCTGTGATGGTGTTTCTGGCTGTACCTTTCTCTCCGGGGGCTGGCGGTAGGGCATTTGGAACAACAAAATGAAACGCACAGAAATTTCAAAAGGTGACACCAAACAGACACTGTTTACAGCCTGAGAGAAGAAGACAGCGCGTCCCACTCAGCCGGGTATGTGTGCACCCGGCGACTCACTGCTCACCACATACACAACCACAAAAGAACACTGACTATTGAATTGGGGCGGGGGGGTCACACACGTTAGGGGGCTTCAAAAAGTTCGTGGGAAATTAGAGTGAAAAGATCAGGGAAATTTCCCACAAGTTTTCAAGCCCCCTTAAGTGAGTAGGTGAATTAGCAAATACTGAATCCGGGAATACTGAGGACCCTGGGTAGGCATTAAAGGGTCCTGGGCAGCTCTCTTCCATTTGTGTGGGAAACAGTGGCACGTGGGGACTGCGTGGGACTGGGTTGCAGATGGGGAACGAGGAAGGAAGGACCGGGAACACAGTCCAGACAGAAAAGGCAGCCTCTGCCGGTGTCTCTGTGTGTGCTTTATTTTCTCTTACTTACATGTGTATTTTATCAGTTTTAGTTTTGCGTTAGTACAGCCTGGGAGAAGAAGAAAATGATGGTACTTAATTTGTGAGACTGGTTTGAGAATGAACAGGGAATGCTCATTCAAGTTCCTCCAACACTGAGCACCGATGGTTCTTGCTCTTCTTCCAAGGATTTGAAATGGCCGTCTCTCAGTGTCATTCAGCTCATGGCCCACAGGGGGCAGCACGAGACCATATTTAAGTTAAATAAGGTTGATGTAAATTTTGTCAGTCTTTATTTTCTCTTACTGGTGTGGCACTATATGATCAGCACTGGACTGTAGCCAGCCGCTCCTCAGAAATCCTCTATGAGGGTTGCTATGATTTGGAACCGACCTTACGGTGGTTCAAGCTCACCAGCTGCTCCTTGGAAACCCTATACAGGGTCTCTATGGGTCAGAATTGACTCAACGGCACTTAACACCAACAGGGCTAGGTTTTTCACCCCTTTGGAAAAGAAACAGTGCCCTGAGTGTTAGGATGGTTTCTGTTGGTGTCCTGTAGCGGGCTTTGTCCAGACAACACGCTAGAGCTGGCGGTGGTGGTGGAGGAGAAGGATTTATCTGCTGGTGATCGCGTGTCAAGTCAGGGTCTGATGGAAACAAGACAGACTGGGATGCAGCAGTTGCTTCCTGCGGGTAATGTGGGTAGAGAAGTATGTAAACATACGGAGTCAGCGTATTAATATTAGAAGCAACAGCCACCCACATTTGTCTTTCATGAGAAGCTGTTTGCTACATCATAAAGACAAAGATGAGGGTCCTGGGTTTATAGGAATTTGACTTGGTCCAAACAGCCTCACCACTGCCCGTTAGAGTCACCAGGGCCAGGAGGGGCTGCCACCTTCTCTCCTGAAGACCAGAGGGCAGTAGTGTTCTGTGAGCTCATTTGTTCTGTGAACTCATTCTTTCAATGGCAGTTGTTGTTGTCAAGTGCCATCGTCGAGTCGAATCTAACCCACAGCGACCGTGTATAAGGTTTCCAAGGTGCAGCTGGTGAGCTTGAACCACAGCACAGAACTTGCAGTTCACATGACTTTGCAGTCTGACACATTAGCCCACAGCGCCAGGTCAGTTTGGTTAGCTGGTGGGAGCAGCATGCTTGCTTGTCTTCTCAGAATGTCATGCTAAATGGTCTATGCAGTGCCCTCCCTAAGCCACGCCTTCTGGCAGCTTCTCAGCGGCCATCAGATGGTGGGAAGAGCAGGCTAAGTCAGCAGGACAGCCTATTGTCCACTTGCGTGGTCCGAGGCAGGGTAGGACAGGGAACTCTGGATTCTTAATGCTAGTCGTGCTCCCTCCCCCCACCCCACCCCCACAAGCAGTGGCCCCATCTCAGGTCAACTCCCTGGGGAAGTGAGGCTTTCTAAAGAGCTAGCTTCTCACGGAGACGCCCACTGAAGGCTCATCTACTAGCAACTGAGAACAGATCTCATGTTTGCTTCCAGAACTCCAGGTGAAAGTGTTAGTTATTTGCTGAAGAATAACGTGAGTGTATGGTTGTGCTTTGTGCTGTAGGAATAACAATAAAGAAAGAAGGTGCCTGATTAGAGACCAGAGAAATCTCCTGCCTCGGTACAACAGGAAAACAGCAAAGGCAAGCCAGTTTTCTTCCAGGAAGCAGGCCAGCTGTCATTCCCTAATTAACTTCTCGTTGTGTTGTGGATGAGCATTTAGGGCAATCAGGATTTCCAGTCGACAATCCACGTGTGTCATTCCCTTTCACCACATAGATGTGTACAGATGTCTTGATGGCGTTTCCACAGAGCCTCTGCCCTGAGGAATCTGTGCTGTTTTACATAATGTATAAAGTGACAGACACTGTAGAAATCCTTCTGAGGTAGGGATGGCACTTTTCCGGCTCTTAGGCTTTGGTGCTGTCTTACTTCTGCGTCCTGATTGACATGGTTTGCTTCATGAAAAATTCAGCATTTATTGCATTGCTTATAAATAAATGTCCTAGTCCGGATCAGGTTTTTTACACTCTGGGTGTGAGGTCAGAAACAGATAACTGAGTGAAGTGTTCGAGTCTCTTGGCTGATGAAGGGCAGTCCAATTTTAAATGCTTTCCGGAGCCTGAGCACATAAAGAGACCCGATGGGAAAAATCTTTGTCAATTAAGTTGTTGTTGTGCAGTGCCGTCAAGTCGGTTCTAACTCGTAGTGACCCGTATAGGGTTTCTGAGGAGCAACTGGTGGGTTTGAACCACTGACCTTGGGGTCCAGTACTTTATCCTACAGTGCCACACCAGAACGCCTCCTTAATTTACCTGTGGATATGTAAAATCAAAGTGATGTGTTCTGTGACCTTAAATCAGAGCAAACCAATGAGGCCTACCTCGCACTTCTCACTAAAATGTGGTCCAGTGTGAATAACATATTAATGCATCGGAGCCGTCCTGACTGTAACTGTTCTACAGAGAAATGCGTTAGGTGTGTGTTCTCTTCCTGTCTGGTGGAGGTGGTGCAGGGAAGTGCTGTCGAGATGGTTCCAACACATAGTGACCCTGTATAGGGCTTCCAAGGAGCAGCTGGGGGATTTGAACCACCTGCCTTGAGCTAGCAGTCCGGTGCTTATCCTACAATCCACCCCAGGACTGTCTGTTAATCTGTAGCATAAAGTATGTGATGACAGGCCATAGGAAGTCAGCTTGACCAGCAATGTGGGTGTGGGCACAACCCCAAAGTGGCTGTCATGTTTTAATAAGTGTCTGTCCTAAAAATGCCAGCTTGTCATCATCATTGTTATGAAAACCCCACCAAGCTGAAGGTACACGCTGCATGATGAATTTTGCTTTGTACTTTTCATTAAGAACACGGGGTTGTTGTTGTTGTGTGCCATAGAGTTGGTTCTGACTCATAGCAACCCTGTATAGGGTCTCCAAGGAGTGGCTGGTGAGTTTGAACTGTCGACCTTGTAGTTTAAACTGACCTTGCAGACCAGCACATTAGCCCAACACCATAGGGTATGAGTTAAATTGTGGAAACCTCGCTTTGTCTTGTAGCGCCCCATCATTACGATTAGCCTACAAGGATCTTGAAATTCAGCTGAAGAAAGATGAAAGGATGAACATCAGTGGCAAAAAGAAAATGGAATCCGAGAGACTTGGCATGGGCTTTGGAAACTGCAGAAGGTATGAGTCTACATTGGAGACCAGTGTGCTGATCACCAAAGCAGTGTCCTTGGGTTGTGTTCATCTCAACGTGTGAAGTTCTCTCTTTCTCTTGCCTGCTGCCTTTTACTGTGTGGCTTTCCTGTCGCACTTAATAGAGCAGGAAAAACCCCAAAGTTGGTTCTCAGGAGAGAAGAACCAGCTCTGACTCATCTTTAAGATGACGCTGCAGTGGATGCCACAGCATCCTTGTATGTATTGACTGCTTTTTATAGAATTAATTAGCAATCCTCAAAAGGCTCCATGGTTTTAATGATGTATACCCTTCCCCACTCTGCAAATGACTGGTTTTTTTAGTGCTTGTGTTTTAACTCCACTAATTCATTTTGCCCTGAATATAGATTTCAAAATGTATCCTTTGGTGGAAGCGTGAGTGTACCTGAACTATGTCTTCTTCTCTTTGCTTTCTTAAGTGGTATTTCCCATTCAGTGACTTCAGACATGCAGACCATCGAGCAGGAGACGCCCATCCTGGCAAAACCCCGAAAAAAATACAGTGAAGACGAAGATGTATATTTCACTGTCAGCTCGAGGTAATCTGGTAAAATCCATCATTCGAGTATCATTTGGAAAAGCAGTAATGGGGATGGGCATGGTGGTTTCTTTGGATTCAGAATAAGCACAAATCAACTTTGCTTCACTGTTTTTAAAAGCTTGGGCTGCAGCTACGGCTGTCGTGGAAAATAAAAACTGGGGACACATTTGTCAGTCAATAGTATCTGGCAATATGAAAATGTTGGATGATAAAATCAGCAGCTGAAGTTGAACTTTGAGGTAGGAGAGATGTGCTTCTGTGGCACGTGAGCTGGGAGAGCCGTGCCTAGGCCCGGGGTCTATACTCAGTGGCGTCTGAGGACGTCACAGCGGTGGGAATACTACACAGCTGTGCCTGTGGACATGCGCAGAGTCTTTTGTTTCAGAATCCCAGCTTCAGGATTCTCCAGCTGGCAGCGTAGAGTATTACACTGTGTGTGTGCAGGCTGCTGGTACTCTTTGAAGACTTCAGGATGAAGCCCCGGGTTCTTGCTTTGTTTTTGGTTTTTAACATTTCAGTGTGAATTGGGTGAAGATTTACAGAACCAGTCATTTTCCATGTAACAGTTTTGTCTCATTTCATGGACTACGGTCCTCACTTAACCTGACTTGGTCCCCTCCTTTTGACCTTGGTGTCTGAGAGTGGCTGCTCTTTGCTCTGCAAGGGGGAATTGTTCCAACCCTTAGTGCTCACCTTGTAGACCTTGTCTGGTGCTTGGCCGAAAACAGCCCTGGGGCTGGATTCCTGTCTGGTTCTGTTCAGGCAGCCTACAGGGGCAGGGAGGAGAGTTTCAACTTGAATCAGCTCACGCAGCACCTGTAAATCACACAGCACCTTGCACTGGAGGTGGGTGCCAGCTGGGAACAGTGGGGGCAAGAATGGAGGCCCAGGAGCCAGGGGGTGGTTTTTAAGTGCCCTTGGATCAGTCCAGTGCATTATCCTGGACTCCAGGACTCAGGTAGCCTGGATTTAAATCCCAGCGCTTCTGCTTACTGACTGTGTGACCTTCGAGAAGTTATTTAACTTCTCTGGGCTGCAGCTCCGTAATCTGTGCATGGCTCAAGAGGCAGCTGTTTGAACTGAACTAGGGGATAGTGCATGGTTCCGAAGAGGAAGAGGTGTGGGTCAGGGCATGATCTTTTCACCTTACTTATTTAATGTGTATTCTGGAAAAGAATTTGAGCAGCCAGACTAGCTGCCGAACTTGGCATCAAGATTGGAGGAAGACTGCACAAATCAGGCCCACCGTGTGTGGTAAGGGTTTGTGAGAGAGGCTGGGCCCATCCTGCACATCTCACAGGGCGCTTGAGCTGTCTGGCAAAGGCTCCAAGCATTATCGTTTCAAAGGTGAACTACGTGGCAACTAGTCACTAGAATGTAGTGGTGAGCCTATCAAAGTTCATGGATCAGGAATCCTGTCTGCCCTTTAAACAGCAGTCTCAGCTCGTCGTTTGTGTACCATGGACTCAGTGGTGACGACTCAGGGACGCTGTGGGACAGAACGACCCGAGGGTTTGCCAAGTGTCACCTTTCCAGGAGCAGGTTGCCGGGTCTCTTTCCCCACAGAACCACTAGTGAGTTCCAATCAACCACCTGGTGCTTAGCAGTAAGCACTTAACCTTTGTGCCACCAGGCCTGCTCCCATCCAGGAAAGCTCCAGACTGGCATTTTACAAACCCAATGTTAGTAGCTTATGCTGGTCCATGTCAGTACTTCAGGAATTTGCGGGTTGCCAATACCAGTTACAGTGTTCGGTTCTATTGTCCAAGACGACGTCCTGAGCAGGCTCTGGGTTTCCCTTCTGCTTAGAGGTTATACCCAACTTGTTACTTTTTAGTGTGTTTAGAGAAAATAGATTTTATACAGAACAAAATTAAAGTTGGCGTTGGATTTATATTGGATTGGTTATGTGTCAAATGATTTCAGCTAGGAATATGAAATGAAAACTCAAGGGAACTTGGGAAATATGGTGCTGGCCTCCTCTACACCGATAGGTTAGCCTGTCTCTCATTAGCAGAAAGTAGGAGAAATGGTCACCCACTGAAAGGGCTCTGAGACCCTTCGGGAGGGTTGCCCCCACTCGGCACCACAGCCTGACTCTGGCCCCAAGGGGCTTCAGAGACTCCTCAGGCTTCTCCTCCTGCCGAGGGCTAGTCAGGAGTGAGCCCTCAGGGCTTCCATTGCTATGAGACAGTTGCTGATGGTTTAGAATCTGGGAGCAGATGGTGTTTTTCTGTCAACTACGCTCTGGGTTCCCACCAGAGAGACCTTGTTTGTTGTGACCTGTGGGGTGACCAGCGGGACTACGGGCACCTTTTCTGGCCCTCCGCAGTGAGGGGGCCACAGCGAGCAGAACGTGATCCCATTAGATACTTGACAACTCAGGCAAAACAAACAAGGATGCTCCATAAGCAAGCAGCGGAGTCCCTCAGAGAGCATTACTGCATCTTAATTATTCATGAGCCATTAGGACTTGGCTATATGAATTATGAAAGAGACGTTGCTGTTTCTACAGACAGTAAGACAAGCATACCCTTGGTGTTTGCTCTTCGTGTTTTGTTGAGTTCCATTACTTCCAGGCTATAAACAATGTAACTATATATTGAGTCCAGGCTCCTGGAAACAGAACAGTTTGCTCAGCCGTAGACAGTGCGTTTGACCCTCAGTGGGAGAGGCAACCAGCGCTCGTTACAAATCGATGTGGCCCCATACTAGACGCTCTTTGCAAGGGTGGGAGGGCAGATATAAATGAGGAGGTTAATAAGCATCATTTCCATTAAAACAGTGGGGGAACAGTGGTTCCATAGGATAAGCACTGGACTGCGAACCACAGCGTCTGCGGTTCAAGCCCACCAGCTGCTCCTTGGGAGAACGATGAGAATTTCTACTCCTGCAAAGATTTAAAGCCTCAGAAACCCCATACAGGGTCTCTGTGAAGAGTCAGAGCTGACTCATCCGCACTTAACCACAACAGTATTAAAATGGCACTTATCATTCTCATTGGTGTCTTAAGCCATGCTTAACAGGAAACGGATGGATGGCCAGCAGTACGCTCCCTGAATGGGATCAGCTCTCTAGACCCGGCAGCATTCTTTGTGACTACAGAGGAAACACTAAGGGGCAGTTGTCCTCTGTCTAACTGGGTCACTTTGAATTGGAATTGACTCCACAATGCAACAAAGAGGCAGAATTAGACCTAAAGAAATGGAAGCTAGAAATCCATGGTGGTTAACCGTTAAAGATGCTCTGCGCTGCCTGGATAGGCTAAGTTACGCTGCAGTAAGAAACACCCCCTTCCCCGCCCCCATCTCAAGGGTTTCACACAACGGTGGTCTCTTTCTTGCAGGTACTTTGATGAGCCCCTGGAGTTACGGAGCAGCTCTTTCTCCAGCTGGGATGACAGTTCCGATTCCTACTGGAAAAAAGAGAGCGTCAAGGATACTGACCTGGTTCTGAAGACCACAGGCTATTCAGACAGGTGTGAGCAGGGCAGGGCAAACCCAGCAAATCTCTGCATCCCTCTGAGAGCAGTCACTGATGGAGGCCAGGAAAACCTCTTGTCAGTGGTTCTTTTGTGCTAACTCGAGGGGATTCTTTGCATTTTACATATGTGTTTCTCAGTCACAGGATCTACATTAGAATCGTCTGTGGAGCTTTGAGAAAACATGCATGCTGGGCCCTTCCTTGCAGAGTCTGATCCCATGGGGCAAGCATGGCCAAGTCCAGGAGTGTAAATGTTAAAGTTTACACAGCAGATTAGGTTTTTACTTGACAGTTTCTACACTGATTGTTCAGTGACGTTAATTTCATTTTACACAATGTGTCAGTGTTCTCTTTCATTGGATTCTGGTTGTTCCATTCTCAGGACTCTAGTTTCCCAGCCCCTCTTTCTTCTTATTTTTGCTTTAGAGTGATTTGTGACCTTTTGGTCTCATCGAGATGGTTTTTTCACTGGAGCATCCTACTCATGGGTAATAGTCTGTTTGTGTACCAATCTGCTGTTTCACTAAAAGGTGGGCTCGGATCGTTTTGGTTCAGGGTTTAAAGAGGAAAGTCTCAGTGTCCTCTGTTCTCAAATGGTCCAGTAATCTGGACTTTTAAGAATTTGTGTCCTGTTCTGCATTTTTCTGCCCATCTATCAGAGTCTGTATGTTTCGTCACTGATCAGAGTGGTCAGTAGTGGTAACGGGGCACCATCTCGTTCTGGCCTCAGGATAGATGAGGCTGTAGTCCATGGAGGCTTTCAGCCCTGTAGACTAGTTTCTTCTACCCTCCCCTGCTTTTTATTAACATCTGTGTGGTTTAGTGAAAGTTTACAGAGCAGATTAGTTTTCCATTCAAGAATGGGTACGTACTGTGTTTTGTGACATTAATTTCCATTTCCTCAGTGTGGCAGCACTCTTGTCACTTCCTCCCTGGGTTCTCCTTATACATTTGTTCTTCATTCCTGCCCCTTCCTGCCTTCTGAGTTTTGTCTGGGGGCACATGCTGCCCTTTGGTCTCACGTGCTTGATTGTTCTTAGGCGCATGTTCCTCACGAGTGTTTCTATTCACTTTGTAGGTCTGTCTGCTGCCTGGCTGAAAGATGATCCCAGGGTAGGTTCAGATCCAGGTTTCAAGGGTGTGTAAGGGCCACATATTTGGGGCTTCTACCAGTTTATCCATGCAAGTAAAGTGTTACTAAAGGTAATACAGAAACAGCTGCAAGCATACATTGACAGAGAACTTCCAGAGGTTCAAGCCGGATTCAGAAGAGGCCATGGAACGAGGGATCTCATTGCTGACGTCCAATGGATCTTGGCTTAAAGCAGAGAACATCAGAAAGATGTTTACCTGTGCTTTATTGACTACACAAAGACTTTAGATTGTGTGAATTATGACAAGCTATGGACAACATTGCAAAGTATGAGTATTCCAGAACACTTCAATTGTGCCTGAACCAAGAGGCAGTAGTTTGAACAGAACATGGGAACACTGAATGGTTTAAAATTAAAAAAGGTGTGCGACAAGGTTGTATTCTTTCACCATACTTATTCAACCTGTTTGCTGAACAAATAATCCAAGAAGCTGGGTTCTATGAAGAAAAACATGGCGTCAGGATTGGAGGAAGACTCATTAACGACCTGCGATATGCAGATGATACAGCCTTGCTTGCTGAAAGTGAAGAGGACTTGAAACATTTACTGATGAAGATCAGAGAGCACAGCCTTCAGTATGGATTACATCTCAATGTAAAGAAAACAAAATTCCTCACCACTGGACACATAGAAAACATTCTTATCAACGGAGTAAAGATTGAAGTTGTCAAGGACTTCATTCTTCTTGGATCAACTATCAACACTTATGGAAGCAGCAGTCAAGAGATCAAATGACGTGTTGTATTAGGCAAATCTGCTGCACAAGACCTTTTTAAAGTGTTGAAGAGCAAAGATGTCAGCTTGAAGACTAAGGTGCGCCTGACCCAAGCCATGGTATTTTCAATAACCTCATATGCATATGAAAGCTGGACAGTGAATAAGGAAGATGGTAGAAGAATTGACGTTTTTGAGTTATGGTGTTGGAGGAGAATTTTGAAGGTACCAAGGGCTGCCAATAAATCCGTTTTGGAAGAAGTGCAGCCAGAGTGCTCCTTGGAGGCCAAGATGGCCAAACTTTGTCTCTCATTCTTTGGACATATTGTCAGGAGGGACTAGTCGCTGGAGAAGGATATCATGTTTGGTAAGGTGGAGGGTCAGAGAAAAAGAGGAAGACCCCCAGTGAGATGGATTGGCCAAGTGGCAGCATCGATGGACTGAAGTGTGGCAACATTAGCGAAGTTGGCCCAGGATCAGGCAGTGTTTTGTTCTGCTGTGCATAAGGTCACTATGGGTCAGTACTGACTCTATGGTACCTAACAACAACACCACCAACAAACCAGTTTCTATCAGACCAGTACGTCTAGTCCTTTTTATGGTTTTGAATTTGGTTCTGTGGTTTTCACCCATTCTGCCCACTACCTTCTGTGGCCCCCAGCAGTGATAGGTAGCCAAGCACCATCTCTCGTTCTTGTGGTCTCTGGTCATGCGCGCTGAGGCTTGCACGTCCCTTCAGGCCCTTATACTAATGGTTTCTTGGAGCCTTTGATTTCCTCCAGATGGGAAGAGCCCTCCCACCCCCATTTTAAGTTTATTATTTACATAAAATAACTTTCCTTTTTTTAAAAAATGATAATTCAAGTTTTGACAACTTAAACACAATTGAATAACTACCACCAAAATTCACACACAGAATGTTTCCGTGACGTCCAGATTTCCCTGTGCTCCTTTGTGGTCAATGCTCCTGGCCCCAGTCCCAGCCCCTGGCACTCATTGGTCTGCTTTCTGACCTTCAGTTGTCACCTTTTCCAGAATTTCATAGAAGTGGAATTATACATTCAGTGGCCTTTTGAGTCTGGGCTCTTTAAACTCTTCATGGTGCATTTGAGATTCATCTGTGTTGCTGTGTTCATTTCTTTTTATTCTTGTTTTTATCCAGTTACCTGCTGAAGGACAATCCAGTTTGAGGAGGATTATGAGTAAAGCTGTGATGAATATGACTAGTTTAGGTTTTTATGTAACCATAAATGTTCCTTTCACTTGAGTAAACACCTCAGAGTGGAATTGCTGGATTATGGATATGTCATTGGCTAAGAAGCTGCCAGACTGTTCTCCGCAGTGGCTGTGGCCTTCCTCCCTCCCACCGGCCACGTTGACAGTCCCAATACACCACGGCTCCGTAGTGAGAGAGGGGCTGTATCTTATACAGCCTAGATGTGCATCTTCCCAAAGAGTGGTGATGCCGGCCATCTTTTCAAGAGATTCTTGTCGTCTGTGTGCCTTCTCTGGGGAAGTTTTCTTTTCCTCATTTTTTATTGGATTGCTGGTCTCATTGTTTTTATTGAGTTTTGAGAGTTCTTTATGCAAGTAGGCTTCCGAAAGTTTGTGGGGAAATTCCAGGACCTTTCCATCCCGTTTTCCCATGAACTTTTGGAAGCCCTCTTGCCTGTCCTGAGTCCTGGTGCATTCTCAGCCAGATGTTTTGAAGTATTTGCTCCCCGTCTGCTTGCTTTTTGATATTGTTTATAATTCCACTTATCTCCACTCTTGGCTTATTACTTACATTCCTCTTTACAATTCTTCAGTGTTTGCCTGAAGACTTATAATAAAACCTAGCTACTGCCATCAAATCAATTCCAACTCAAAGCGACCCTGTATGGGATTTCTGAGGCTGTAAATCTTTACGGACATAGGCAGCCTCCTGTTTCTCCTGCAGAGCAGCTGGTGGGCTCGAACCACTGACCTTGCAGTTAACAGTCCAGTGTTTATCTTACTGCACCGCCAGGATCTTGTATATCTTTAATTTATGAAGCTCTCCTTGTAAGTAATAACATACCATTTCCCAAGCAGTGTTTGATCTTCCAGCAACGTATAGTCCCTAGTCTCCCATGAAGAAGCCCTAGTGGCACAGTGGGTTAAGTGCTGAGCTGCTAACCAGAGGGTCAGTAGTTGAAGCTCACCAGCCACTTCCTAGAAGGAAGGTGACGATGTCTGTTCTCATAGTCTCGGAAATCCTAAGGCGCAGTTCTCCTTGGTCCCACAGGGCCGCTAAGGGTCAGGACTTGGGTTTTGGTTCAGTCACACAGAATACATTACTACATAATACATTGGTTCTGACTCATCACAACCCTTTATAGAGTTTCCAGGGAATGGCTGGTGGGCTTGATCTGTTAACAGTCCAGTGCTTATCCTACAATGCCACACCACGACTCCAGTGATCTTTTAGGGGAATTAAGAGTCAGAAAACTGAACTCAGTTTCATTTATGCTACATCCAGTGCCTTGCATCTCTTTGTGTAGACCACAGTTTTTAGCTGAGCTCATCTGCTTTACGCCCGAGGAGGAGCTTCCTTGTAGGGGAGGTCCATTAGCAGTGAATTACCTCAGGTTTAGGTTACCTGGAAAAGGTTTTAGTCCTCCTTCATTTTCTAAAGACACGGTCACTGGGGATTGAATGCAGTGGACAAATGGTGGTTTGCGTACTTTCTAACAAGAAGTCGGTTGCATTCTTGTCTTTGTTCCTCTCATATATAATGTGTCCCTTGGTGATGTAATGGGTTCACCGCTGAACTTTAAACCAAAAGCTCAGTGGTTTAAACCCACCAGCCGCTCCACATGAGAAAAACGAGACAGTCCGCGCCCCTAAAGATGGCAGTCCCGGAAGCTAAGGTGCGGCCCTCCTCTGCTCTGGAAGAGCCGCTGTGAGCTCTCATCCACTTGATGGCAGCGAGTGTGTCACCTCAGGAGACAAACCACACAGCGTTCAGTGTTAGTCTGGGCCCAAGACTTACTCCTCCGTGAGTAGAGGATTTTTTCCCCTCATTTCCTTCCCTCGGCCACACTATGTCTTAACTGTGCCCTCAGCAGCTTCTGTTTCTGCCCCAAGTCTCCACGGACAGAAACGCTGGTGTGTGACTGTGCGTTTCCTGGGGGTCTGATTGCCCCTCACGCTAGTCCATACTTGGCCATTAACCATGATTTGAAACTTACCAGTTTGTATGGGGCTCCGCGTCTCCTTCCCTTAGATTTTGGGGTAGTTGTCTGACCTGGGATCTCAGCTTTTTGATCTAGTTCCAGAAACCATGTGATTTTGCAGATGAGTTAGCATGTTTTCCTTGTAGATGTGGAGCAACATTCTGTCCATGTTGTTGTTGTCAGCTGCCATCGAGTCGGAACTGATTCATAGCGACCCTATGCACAGCAGAACGAAACAATGTCCGATCCTGGGCCAACCTCACTACTGCTGCCACACTTGAGTCCATCAATGATGCCACCTGGCCAATCCATCTC